CAGCTCCAAGCTAACATTGTCAATAACCACGTCGGTTTCAACAATATCCATCAGGTCTCAACATCAACACTGGCACGCATCCTAATAAAAAAACATATTCAAATGAAGAAAATTTATCGAGTGCCTTTCGAGCGCAATTCCGAAAGGGTGAAACGACTGCGGCATGATTATGCAGAGGTATGTATTCACCTTAGCATTGTGATCTTGCATACTGTCTAATAATCTTTTACTGTACTGTAATATGTATACTAGATCTACACTGAACACAATTTTGCCTGACACTGTTCTTCAGAGAGTTTTACAAATGGATGGAGAGGAGATCCAGCATGAGTTTATCTACGTAGATGAGGCTGGGTTCAACCTGACGAAAACACGAAGGAGGGGAAGAAACATCATTGGCCACAGAGCTATAGTATAGTCAATGTCCCAGGGCAACGTGGGGGTAATATAACACTCTGTGCAGCCATTACACAGAATGGGGTCCTCCACCACCATGCCCATATGGGCCCTTACAACACAGCACTCATACTTACATTCTTGGACCAATTGCACAACATAACAGCAGCAAATCAAATCGATCATATGCAATACATTGTTGTCTGGGACAATGTGTCTTTCCACCGCTCTGCTCTGCTTCAGAACTGGTTTCAGCAACATCCACATTTCACCGTCCTATATCTTCCACCATACTCTCCATTTCTCAATCCTATAGAAGAGTTTTTCTCGGCATGGCGGTGGAAGGTATATGATCTCCGTCTCCAGGCTGAGGTACCCCTCATCCAGGCCATGGAGGAGGCCTGTGACCAGATGGAGGTAGCAGCAATGCAAGGATGGATTCATCATTCAAGACGTTTCTTTCCAAGGTGTCTTGCTAATGACAACATTGCCTGCAATGTTGATGAAATTCTCTGGCCAGATCCAGCTAGGCGAAGAGACAATGTCTAGTTTTTGTTTCGTTTTGTTTTTTACAGTAAACTTACAGTACAATACGTAAAGTGACATTTTGTTACAATATTAGGAATCTCCATGTCAACATTTTGGGCGTGTTGAGAAATAAATGAGTTTCTTCAGTCTGCAACATTGGTCTTGTGTAGTGTTTGGTGAATTTACATTATATTTGTACTTTGTTGATGGTAACCAACTCTAATCATAGGGAAGTAGAAGTGCTAAAAGTGTTTTAGGTTTATCACAGCAGAGTGTAAGTCGTGCAAACAGAGTATAGTAATGTGAAACGTGTGTGTTTCATATGGTAACAAAGTGTGGTTTTTAAACAGAAGTGTATAGTTTTTACAAGAGTGTTTAATTATGCAAAGGATCTGTAGTGTTTTGCTAATTGGGTGTGTAGTTGTGCTAATTGTGTGTAGTGTTTTGAAAACACGGGCCCTGTTTTGAAAATTGTGCTTAAGCAATCCAAAAAAACTGTAAAAAATAAATAAATACATCTAACTATGTTCATTGTTTTTACCTCTCACAAGTCCTGGAAAGAGAAAATGCTGATTACAGGAGATAGAGATTTTTATTCCCATAATTTGGTGAGCCGATTTTATATAATTGCTTCTCGGCTGTCCATCTTTCCATTTTGGATCTTAATCTGAAGAATACCTGACTTTCTTCTGCAGGAAAGTGATGCAGAGCAATCTAGAAAAAAAAAGAGTTTTTCAAGTATAATGATGTGATTTAAAAACAAGACTACACTATCTTATGTTCCAAAAGAACTTTGTCTTGAATAGTTATTATTTATAACCCTCTAATCCCGTGGAATGAAATATTTTCCACAGAGAGTGGTATGCAATAGCTTATTCCCACAATCTAAAGGTACTTTTTTGGCAATTATTGCAATTGCTTGATGATAATAAAACAAAAACTGTAAATTACTTTAGAATGCAATTTTCTTCTTTATACATGTGCGCGTTATAGTTTATGTAACTATATCCCCACAGTTTATGGAATTAATGAAAAAATGCCTTTTATTTTTACTCTTATCATATTAAGAATAAAATATTAGGATTAGTTTTGATAATGCAATTTGTTTTGTGTATCAATTTTTAGCATGTCAAAAATTTTAACTAAGGTATTAAAAATTCTGGGGAAAAAAACATGTTTTTACTGTACAGTAAAAAATATCCACTATAATCAGTGTAAAATAGTCAGCGTTGAATGCATCACATGGCCTATCTTATTTAATCCTGATGTAGAAATTAATAGAAATATTTGTTTTTCCAATATCCCAAAATTGATATAAAAAGTTTAATGAATTCAAAGTTATCTTTAAAGAACATCTGGAAAGTCAAGAACTGTACTGTTTAGGTTTGGTTGTTTCTGTATATTTTTCATTTTTTAATAGGAATGACCAAATGGTGTAAAAATAGAACAGAGTACAAATTTCTTTGAACAGTACAAGCTGTTCAATGTAGCGCCATATATAAATCAGAAACCAACTTTACTGTCATTAGCTAGGCACAGTGTGTGTCAGCATTTTCCTGTAATGCTGACACACATGCACAACACAGGAAGCACCCACCTTCAATTAACTAGACATGGAATTAAACAACAGAAAATCAGTTTGAAAAAAACAGACGATAATTGTTTCTTTTTTTAAGTGCTCAGCTCATGGCGAGCGCATAGCCATGCAGCCCAAGGCAGTAATGAAATGTTGCATCAATATTTATCTAATACTAGCATTCTTTGACTCTTAATGTAGCCTACTCATGTTCAGGGCAGCATATTTAAAAAATAGCAAATAAATAAAATAATATTTTCTACATATGTTTAAAATGTAGTATGGCACTTTAAAATTGATACTCATGTACTTATTTATATATTATATACTTATTGTAATTCGCTAAATAAATCTGTCTAACAACTAACTTAATCTATCTGAGCAAAATTCCTTTTTTATTATGCTCAGCCTCATGACTTCGGCTTAGGGTTGAAGAAAGGCATTAAAGATGCTTTGCAGTATTTACTAAAATATTATAGACAATTAAGGTATGGCTTGAGATGGTGGAGCACATATATACATTTTTGTAAAATAAGTAAAAACTTTTGGTAACCTCAGTTTTTTTTTTATACATAAAGCTCAAAGAAAGAGGCTACGTGCAAAAACAAAAAACACTCAGATTCACATAGGAAAATATTCATTTATGTACATAAAAGGCACAGAGCCGAGCCTGTGTGGCTGTGTCCAAACCCCTTCTTATTTGACACTGCATTAAGAATGTATGACTGTGATTTTCGTATAATGTGTGTCATATCACAAAGTGGTGGGTTTTCCAATTGTCCAATAATGATCTATTTGCCAATTCAATGCCACCGAAGAAGAGACGGCAGGCAGGCGTAAAATGAATAAAACATCGAATGACATGATCGCGACAGTTTCATTTCAATCTCTTCAGTCTCTGCTAGCTTTCTTTCATGAAGTCTCTAAGAAGACTCGTGTGCATTTGGGGTAAAATCAGCACTTGGATCCTTGCCTGAGTTTGTATGTGCATTGCAGTTTTTTTTCTGTTCTCTTTATCTCAGACTAGACGCCTACGATGCACTACTTTCACAAGCATAAGCACAACGTCTCCTCGCATCTGCTCCCATTTGTTGAAATAGTTTACTGGCAATATCCATGCTGGCTGGTGAAGATTGTATACATCCATGGTTAATTAGCTAATGCCAGTAAGTTTAAATATAAATATGTGAGACAAAATGTGACCCCTCTTAAGTATGGATATAAAGTGCAGATGAGAGTTGGGGGTGAATCTCTCCCTTTACGACAGCTATTATCAGGTCTTCAATAAAAGGTGTGATTGTCTAATTGGAGAAGAGGACAGAGGAAGAAAATATGTCTGTGGGGAATAAAATGACATATGTCGGGCTCACTTTTTGAACTTTTTTTCTTTATTATGCAGGTCTGAAATAAAAGAAGCATTATGACAGAAAGTGATGCTGCTGGCAAGGAAAGACAAAAAAGGCAGCATCTAAAATATATATATATATAAAAAAAATAACCAACAAAATCAGCATTGTGATCGTCATCATTATTATTTATCAAACCAAAGCAGGAAACAATAAAATAAGAATAAAAATACACCTCCATTGTAAGAAGCAAAAGTGATCTCATTTCTTTTATAAATAAGAAAACCTGTCAAACAGCTGATGGCTAACGCGCGCAAAGAAAACTCCAAACAATGTAGGAATAACGATTTCAAATATTTATCATTACTGGTTTTACAAATAAAATAACTACAATTGGCAGTTTGTTTGTTTTTTCTTGTTGGTTTTGTATTTTTTTTTACACAACTTAAAATGTTATTGTATTGCGGCGACTAAAACTGAAATTCTGCTACACGAAAGGAGATCAAAACGAGATGTCTTTGTCAGCAAAATGCATTTTCCGTTAATCACACAAAAGTTAAAAACACAACCAAACACGAACCAGAAACTTATTAAAAAAAAATCACTTGCGGTGTTCACATGTTGGAGGTCTCCCCCTCCTGCATGGTTAGGGGACAACATGGACATAACAGTGGGATAGCTAAACAAAAGATGGGAGGGGTGGGCATTTTGAGTCAATAGCCCCCCACCTCCGACTTCCCTATCTGAAACTTTACATCTCATTTCATCTCACAGCCTTTCTATCCTGCCTCTGCGCTCTCTGTTTCTCTTCTTGCTCCGAAAGGAGCAAGAAGGTTTAATGATCTGCAGGACATATATTGTGTATTCAGTTTCAGATTAAACTTTGTCTGTAAAATAACAACACAGACGTGAGCACAGATTTAATGCACGAGTGAAAGTGTGAAATAGTCCTCTGAATTTCAATTGTATGGGATTGTTAAAATTGACAAGACTCAAAGACCGAGACACTCACACTTACTAGTCCTCTGCTCGCACACTTATGCCACGTCATGAATGGGGTACATTCTAACGTCCAGACGCACTCATACACACATACAATAACATACATGTACTTTTAGAGGAACAAATCTATCTGGACTTTTAATTTCCAATTCAATTCCACAAAAGTGATATTTACAATCACACTGTGACAGCTCAGTAGACCTCTACAGGTCTTTATTAATAATAAAAAAGATTTTCTTCGTTTTTTCTGTCCTATTCCCCACCAAGCTTTTAATCTGTCGCCCGTAAGCACAGCTACCATAACATCAAGGCCTATGCTCAACATACTAGGAGTTAATATTTCTCTATGATACAGGGCCCATTGCTTACTAGAAACAGAATGAAAAAAAAGAAGACGGAAAAAAAAAAATAGCCAGCTTGAAATAAATAAGACAGAAACATCAACAAAAAGGAAATGAAACTACAAAATGGGTGGAAAAAGGAAAAACATGTTTTTTCTTATTCTACTTAAAGCTGGATGGGATCCCTAGCGGTTCGTTTTGATGGTGGCACACAAGAGGGGCGCTCCACAGCCCACGTCGGTGAAGGCTCAGACATATAACTGAGGAGGTGATGAGCGAGGGCAGGGAGGAAGAGGGAGGGGAGGCTTTATAAGTGCTTGGCAAATTTAAACAGCAAGAAGACCATTAATACAATAAGTTGTACAGACAGTAGTCATCTAGTCAAAAAACTGCTCACAAATTCTAGAAACTGCGAAAAATAATGATTACATTAATTATGAAAAACAAAAACGTTGTCGGTGACAGTTTATAGGAATCTGAATGTGTTTGTTTATGTATCTGGCTGTATGTCAAGGTACACTGGATGTAAGAGGGAGAAGGTTGGGGCTGGGTGAGGAAAACAGAGCGGGTCGACTCCTCGATGTCATCATTTGTCAGCAGAGGATAATCTTCAGTTTCAGGTGAGGTAGAGGGGCTTGTCCCTGCCTATCATGCTTCCACTGTAACACAACAAGAACCAGTGGAAAATCAATTAAATCAGAAGCATAACAAAGTCGCTAAGATAACTAAAGAGAACATATTTATAACAAAAGAAAATAAAAATACTTTGATTTCAATGTAAAATCAGGAGGTTTTTTTTTTTATATTGTTTTAACACTTAAAGCTTACAAACATGCCAATAATTTTGGTCTTATGAGCACAAAACAACAGATTTTGTGTTTATCAAATCCCCAAAAAGTTTCTTCAGGTGATTTGTTTTTTTTTTCTTTTTGATAATATAAACCCATTGGAGCCTTTGGCTTTAAAGCAAATACTGGTACTGCTGGTCTGAGCATAAGTGTTGGTGGAAAATGAAATAATCTCCATAAAACCCAAAGGGAGGGAAGCCTTTTTTTCTGGTATCATTGGGTTTCAGGACTGGCTTAATAGAAGGAAAGCAAGAGTTTTAGCCAACATACTGGATATGTCTGCCTGTAAAAAAAAATAAAAATAAAAATTAGCCCTGACACCATCCAAACTATTTATTGGCCTTTGCTTTACCATCCTTAAAAGTCCTGTAGTAATGTTTCTAACTAAATGCGATGGAAATGTTGACCAACCCTTTAAAGCTTTAAAGAAAAGAAAACAAAGAAAATGCAATTTGGACATGTCTCCATCCAATGGAGCGATTTAACGTGGCGGTGCAAATTGTAATGTTTTGATTCGTTGATGTTACGCTTGCTTTTAGTAAAAAGGAAGTAAAGTCACAAAGCTCAGCAATGGAGCAAGGTTTTAACAAATGTGTTCCAATCAGGCAAGTCTTACTCACTTTATCATGTAGGCTAATATTAGCGATGGTTCATGCAATCTGGAGACAATGAGAGAGAAATATGATTCTAATTCTGCATTCAGGAGGCCAGCCAAGGCGGAAAAAACTCATGAGTCATGTGAAATCTTGTTTCCATCTCCTCATTAGCACATTAATGCTTTTTTTGTATAAAGTAAAAAACCAGCTTAAGTGAACTTAAAAACTTTTCTAGAAGATGTTTGTAAGTTAATTCGAATTTTACCAATTCTATCAAGCTCCTCTGATGGGATACTTCAAAATTAACAAAATAAAAGGGTGATGGAAACACTTATTCTGGGTATCTCTGAATGCACAGACCTTCTTCAAACACTTCCAGCACCCCATTATATTTTCTAGAAATATTCTTGGATAAAGTAGTTTGTGAAGCTCCAGCTATCCTGGAATGGATTCAATTAGATATCCTTCAGTTGTCAATGATCTTTAAGTAAAGTTACGTTTATGACTGTGCAGGCTTGGGGTCTCCAGCTCTCAGTTGTATATATATTAAATAAACAATTTATTAGATTAAAGTCTCTTGAAGAGGATACAGATATACAGCTTTAAACCATTTTTTATCCCTCTCATGTAACATTAAAATTTTCTGATTAACTAGATTTGAGTTTTTATGTTGATATAATAAGCAATGATCATAAAATTAACAGAAAAACACATGAAATAATCAGTGTGTAATGAATGAATGAATGCATTTATATGAGTTTTCTATTTTGATGTGAATTATAACTTATCCATTCAAAATATTCCAATTTATTGTAGTGTCTGGATAACAGACTTTTGGTGTACAACTTTTACTGTAGAAAATTGGTAAAAAATAAATCTGCTTTATAAAAAGTTCTTGAGGTGGATCATTGTAAGATTACCACTTGCATCAGCTCCTGTATCTACACTGACCTGCAGTGGTTGCCACACTCCCGATTGCAGTATTCTCCATCCCACTCGTGGTTCTGAGCCACTCCAGGACCTGGCCCAGAGCCAGGAGCTCCTGGAGACTGGGAACCTCCAATACTCTTCTGGTACTCTGACTGGAGGTGAGAAAAACCCTGAAGGACATAATTCAGAAAAATTGAAGCAAAACCCCTGAGTAGACACCTCATCACACTCACATCAACAAATGTCTCAATCTATTTCTACCTGCTGCCCTGGAGGTGGAGAGTGAAGAGAGGCCTGTAGCCCCATCTGGTGGGAGATGATTGGCTGAGACTGGACCTGCTGCATGCGGATGGGTTGGTTGAGGAGCGAGCTCTGGTGCAGAGAGAGCTGCTGGTGTGGGTGAAGTGGTGGGCTGATCTGGAAGGAGGAAGGGGGAGAGGCACTAATGCTGGGCAGCATCGGCGACTGGCTGAGCGTCTGTGACAGAGTGTGGCGAGGGGCGTGTCCTGCGTAGCTCTGCAGGTCGGTAAGAGGGAAGGCCCCCGGTCCTAGGTATGGCGATGACGGCTGTGGGGGAGGTGGCACGCTGTACAGCGAGTTGGTTGGCATCATATGAGGAGAAGCCTGACTTGTTTGGGCAGTTTTAGTCTCCCCAGGGTCGTTATATGTCTGAAAGGAAAACAAAACACACTCAATCACAGTGATTACAACCACTGTAAAAATACTTTCACAATAAAATAAACAAAAGGGTTTTAGTCAGCCAATTTTCATGTATATATTCAGAAACTAGAAGGTGTTAGCTTTCAAATAACTTATCACACGAAGCAAACTATATTTCATTACATATAATTTACTGCAGGAGATACTCCTTTATAAGCGTATAATCTAAGTTCAGATGCATTCTGCTGACTGAATTAACATTATCATCATCTCTGCATTGTGTTATAGTTACTGCAAAAAAACATATATGTATTCAGAGTGTGTAAAAAAAAGAACTATTCTTGTGTATATCCTTATCCAGTGGTTTGTTCAATCTATGCAATTGCTTTTTTTGTTTTACAAGTAGCTGGCATTCCTGTTGGCTACATAATAGCAGCTATATCAGCTACTCATATGAGGTTATATAAAACGGGAAAAAAGAAAACTTTATTCTGACTCAGTGCAAAGACGTAAATTTTTTTTAAAATAGAAGAATCTTTTTACCCCCTTTGAAAGAATCCAGACCAGCATCATAAGTGACAAAGAATTTAATGACCTCATCATTTCAAAAATTGCCTTAAAGTCTTTTAATTCTTGACAGGAGACTCTAGACAGACTTCTTTTAAGCAAAAAATTATTACTCGAAAAAGGTCTATTTGTTTTGTTTTTCCTTAATTTAGTACTTGATAGCTAATTTAATTTTGATAGCTTCCTGCTACCCTGATAAGGCTGCAGCTGTGACTAATTAGACAAACTCTAATTACTTTTTTTGGTTAATTTTAGATTTATCTGCTACAAATAATTTATATGATGTTGATTACAATAACTTTTAAAAATAATCTATTTTTGCACTATTTTTGAAAACAAACTATATTTGTTAACTCTGGACAGGAAGAATCTGCTAACCATTACACTATCAGCCAACTGTTGCTTTGTGGTCATAGTGTTATTAAAGTTTGAAATCGAGTCAGAAGACACACAATGTATTAAGCTAAACAAAACGAAGCTGCACTCATCATTTTATACGTTTTTATGATTTTTTCCCAAACTGTGGCTAATTATTTCCCTTCCCCCATTCTACCGATTTTCCTTCCTCCACAGCTGTTCCTAATTCCCCTGATCAGCTCACCTGCATCCAATACCATTCTTTACAGTATAGATATTTTTTTGCTTTTTAGTGCTCACTTTTGTTTTCTCCAGATCATGCTCCATGTCCTGTACTCCCTTAATTTTTAAAGGTCTTTTTTTTCTGTCAAAATCAGTCGCTGCATTTGAGTGCTTTAGAAATCACACCATGAAATTTTTACTTTAAATCAAGGAGCTCACAGTGTTAAGTTCTGTCCTTTTATTATTTATATATTCTTTATTTATTTACTGCACCCATCTACCGTGGCACTGAGCTGCAAACATACACATTCATTTGCTAGGTCTGTCCCTCTCCTTTCCTTTGCCTGTGGAAGGTGCACGTGTACGTATGAAACACATGGACTGTTTCTCATTAGTGTTCAGACTTGCTGGAGTGATGTGGGGTGGTCTGTTATTTAGTAATGGCTCCCATCCATCCAGCCAAATCCCTCAAATAATCAATGGAACGATATGAAGGAGCGGATAAGCAGGGGAACGGGTACATTTTCAGGGGTCAAGTGGAAAATGAAATAAGGAAGAAAAGAGGTGAATGGAGGAGGGGAAGAATGAGATGATGGGTGTTATTTGTTGAAGCTCATTTTTAAGTGGATAGACAACGATTGTGTATTATAGTAGATGGACTCTAGATTGTCTACACTAAAAGTCAGGCAGACTGAAAATGTTTTGTCAATGTCTCCTTTCTATCTCCTCTTTCTTTCATCTTTTGTTCTTTTTTTTTTCTTTTTCTGTTTTCTTCTTCTGTTTTTCTGCTCTACTTACATTGCAGTGTCCATATAAACTGTAAAACTCCCTGCATAATTATAATAAAGCAATTTATATGCATGAAACAAGTGGAGCAGTATGGTAATTGCCATACCGCTACACTTGTGAAAGTAAAATCTGTTGGGCTCCTTTTGGCATCAAGACAATTATTCTTATTGCCACCTTGCCAGACAGGACACTGTAAAAAATAAAGTCAGGTTATTTTTAAAATTCAGTCCACACTTTCAATGTTACCCCTTTATTTTTTTATTTCCCTACAAGGGAAGGGCCAATGCTATTTAGTGAGTTGCAATCAAACTTTCTTTTTTTCTTTTCCTCTTATATAAACTAACAAATGTCACAAAACAAAAGGGCAACAGGTGCACACACAGGATGTAAATCCTTGAAATGATCCTCTAATTACCTCCAATTCCACCAACTCCTATTCACTCTGAAAAAAGTCCTTCATCTATAATTTCTAAAAAAAAAAAGTCATTTTGAAGGATGAGCTTCAGTCATTCAGTTAGAGTGGCTTCTCCTGAATGAGAGACAGTGAAGGTTTGCATGTTTATTTTTGTCTGACAGGTTTTCTTTTTCTTTTGACTCTCCAACTACCATCATATGGCATCAATCAAGCCTCTGCATAGGATACCCTGAATATGTAATCGCACCAAAGACAAGAGATGAGAATAGTCTTTTGAGAAGAAAGTATGGCAGAGTGAAGAGGCTGATGAATTAACTATTCATGCCTTAATCAAGGTGCTTGTTTTCTGCTCATGAGCGAAGGAGGAAGTGTGGCGTCCCATTCGGGGGAGGAGGACTGGAGAGCGCGAGGAGGAGGAGCTTGGCATATGCTAATGTAATTAAGGTTTGAATACGAAGAACAATATGGAGACAGATATGAAATGAAGTTCAGAGAGCTCTTTAACTGCTTCCAAGCTTTGTATATGGGGTTGGTATTTTTCAAACAAACAGATAGAAGAAAATCTTAATGGTTTGACTTTAAACCGCTTCACAGTGAGGGGATAGGATGTGAGCAAACCTCAGCCAACACATTAGCAGCTCAACAGGGAAGAAGCAAGCACCAGGAGGATGGCAAATGACAGGTAATGTCCACTCCTGCTCTTACACATGCATGCTGATAAGCAGGCCCGTAGACTTGCACTATTACTTTTTATTTCTCCCCAGGTTACAAATTGAGGTGTGTCTTAGGCCTAATTTACCCTGTTTTCTTTTGAGCACACATACAGCCTTTCTTTTTTTTTTTTACCTCCACTCATAAATTTATTTACATATTTACATAATGACAGTAAAATCTGCATTAGATTCATATCTATAATCATTTGTATATGTCTACAGGAAGATGCACTAAACATTCTTTGGATTTCGTGAAGCTTTTTATAGGAATAAGAGCGGAATTCTGTCTAATTTATTATCCCTTATATTGCAGCTGACCCATGTATATCAAACATGTGACCCCCGCTGTTACCTTGGAAACCAGACTGGCTCTGTAGGCGGCCAGGGCTTTCAGGTACTCCTTCTTAGCAGCCTCTGTTTTCCTCTTGTAGCTCTGCAGGAACAAACACAACAACAATTTTTGATTATGAGCTGATACCAAAGGTTGCAATGACCCAGCTTTCCACATTGACTGATGCATTTGAGACTCTGGGAATCATGGCTGTAATGAAAATAAAACAAAAAACAAAAAGCATTTCACATGCATTTGCTTCACAATCTGCACAATTATCAGGTCAAGGGGATTTTTTCCCCATTCAATGATGCCGGTGCATATGAATCATTTGCTTCTTAAAAAAATCCAATTCAGCCCAAAATGAAATGTCAAGAAACATTCTGCACAATAACATGAAAATAGAAATTAAACGAGGAGTGAGAGCCTGTTTGTCACTTTGCACACTGCTTTTTCAGTGTTATTCTCTATTAAGGCTGTTGCTCATCTCTTAATCAGAGCTGATGTCGAAGCAAATCACTCAGACGAGAGAGAGAGAGAGAAAAAAAAATAAAAGAACTCAAAACAGCTTTAGCAAAAAGGCAATCTTGAACCGTCTGAATGAACCTCAAATGATGCGTTGAGACAGGGAATTCAAGTTAATGTCATCACATGTCACTCACAGCCTGTGTGCAACTGCTGCTGCCTTTTTCACACAGCAAAAAGTGAAGGATAGAAAGTCCAGCCTCAAATCGATAAAGGCTCAGATCTCAGCATTTTAATACGAAGGAGGGCACAGTTATTTTGTGAGTGATTTCAGAGGGTAATTACTGATCTTCTATGAGATACTGTCAGTGGCAACATGGGCAGGGTCATCTTTTCTCAGAGAGGTGGGGTAGAATAACCATTAAGCATTCATGGGTTGCCAAGTGAGCATAGGCTGGCAGCTGCTGACGTGCATACACTCAATAAACAAACAAGCAAACAAACAGGACAGCAAACAAAGCGGGATGAAGCCGGATACAATCTCTTGTTCAAACAGCTCATGTTTATCCTCTCTCTCACCCATATTTACAGTATTATCATTATTGCTTTGACATACAGTGGCTTCCAAACCTGAAACTTCACATGCCTTTTTTTATATTTGTCATCTTACACCATTAATAATAATGTAATTATAATTTATTTAAAGTTAAACAAAGTAAAAAAATGCATTTGTATGCAACTCTCTTAACTATCATACCACTACATAATATTTAATGTAGCAAGTTATGATTAAGCTATTGTTCACCTGTGTTCAATTTGATTAAAACAGGTTTTATATCAATATGTCAGGGGTTTAATAAAATCTAAAAAATAAGAATGCCATTTTAAACTTCATACTTCAACATATTTAAATATTAAAACTTTTTTTTCTAAACAGGTTTGAATAGGTGGTGTAGGATGCAGGAGAATGTCCTGCAACTGGAGAGTTGCCGGGTCAAACCGTAGCTCTATCTGTCTCAATTGTTGTGTCCTTGGGCAACACACTTAACCTGGATTGCGTACTTCTGTCAATGAGCGCCAGGGTAGCTGTGGCTATGACATAGCTCACCATCATTTTGTGTGAATGTAAATGACTAAATGAAGTGTAAAGTGGTTTGAGGTCCTTCAAACTGATGAAGCCCTAAACAGGACTCACCATTTTACCATTAAAAACACATGGGAATCTGCCCAAACTGCAGACAAAGAGAGCAGTAATGAGAAAGACACACAATTATCCCATGGTAACCCAGGAAGAGTAAAGATCTACAGCTTTGGTAGGGTGTCGAAAGGAGAATTAGAACTTCCAAATTATGGCCTTTGAGGTGAGAAGAAGCCAGGGTTGCAATATGTTTTTTTTAATTTATTTTTTGCTCTTTTTTTTTTTTTTTTTTTTTATATATAACTGGGAAAACCAAAAAACCAATAATGAAACATGATGGTGGCAGCATCAGGCTGTGGCAATGCTTTTTATCAGTGTTCATGAAGAAGCTGGTCAGAGGTAATGTAAAGGAGGAAGGAGAAAATTTAACTTTTGCATAACACACTTTTAGGCCACTTTCAGACTGAAAATCTGTGTTTTTCAAAACCGGGTTGACCCGCTAACAATCAGATTTTGGCTATTTTTCCATTCAACCTAAAAGCTGGGTCTGACACCCTGCCGGCAAGCTGTGTTGCCTCGGTCTCCCAACACTGCGTGTTTGATGACGCCATCATGCTGGGTGCGCATTGCTGATGTTGCTGAAATCTGTGAAGTAAATAATGGAGAGCAACATGGATGGAAGCCAGAGCGTATCCAAGTATTCTTTATTGTTTTGCTCCGCTGTCTGTCCTCAGAACAGTAAATTTAAACAAATCTCCACTTCTCCTAGGATTATTAGGAGCTCACATATCTCTCTATCTTGCCAGTGCTGTGCCATGATTCTCGATTACAAGCAGAGTTGTTTGGACTTGTTATTTAATAAGCGACCAGCGTGACCAGAATGTTGTGACATACATATGCTGCACTAAACGTCATCGTGTAATTTAGCAGGTCAACCTGGGTCTGTTGTTCCCAAAGCATGCTGATCACAACTTAGGTGATTTTAACGTGGGTTGCTTGCCGAGTCGCTTGACCCGGGTAGACTCGTTAGTGAGCTGTTCCCATTGCCACTAAAGGCCGATTTTTCCCGGGCTTAAACAGGTTTTTTGGTGGCTCCAAATAACTTGACATTCATGCAAAGATTAAGTTTGACTTGCTGCAGTGGTTTTAGCTAAGTTCTGAGGGAAAGACAAATGCATGCCACACTTTTTAGCTGTTTCTGATAAAAATGTTGAATCCCAGGTGTCATTTACCTTCCACTTTACTGATATGCAGTGGTTTGTGTTGTGTTATAACAAAAACCTTTGTGGCTGTAATGTCAACACTCTATGAAGCAAGTCTCCGAACTTGAAACTACAGTCAATAATCATCAGAAGAACAGCTCCCAGAATAAATCTTTAAGTGACTACGCACATCTTATAGACTCGTTTTCTTTGCATTTATTAACCTAAACTACTCCCAACAGTCTTGATTTAGAATTAATTTAACACAACTAATGATCTACACAGAGACAGATACTTTTAGGCAAATTACTATGCCTAAGGATGTCTAATTATTCTGAAGTGAGCGGATTCATTACTGGTTAAAGCTGTCAAAGACTGTCGGTCACTATGAATAAAAAATAACAACGCTGCTAGGGGGGATAGCATATGCCTCCAAAGTAATCCCGGCACAGAGGTGTCCCATCTGAATTAGCCCCCTAATTGTACCTTAATGAATTGTTCTTGTTTGATAACCAGTTAATTACAGGAGACAATAACCCTGCGCCCCACTGACACCGATGGGAGTGATTACCCTGCGAACGTAAAACAGAACGATTGGTGAGAAACAGAGGTGAGGGTGGATGTGGGGGTGTTGCCAACGGTACTGTAGTTAAGATAAAAGACATGGTATGCAGTAATGGAAAAGAGGTTAAAAGGGGGGAGACAAAAAACTAACATAAGGTTTACAAAGGGGGAGAAATAAAAGAAAACAAAAATACACTGCAGGTAATATCTGAGCCAGGAGTGTAATATCCAAACATGCATCTTAAATGAAGTGACAGTGTGTTTTTTTCTTTAGATCTCTGACCTTTCAAGAGTACACAAATCCAAAACACAGACTCAATTAAATAAAGCTAAGGTTTCCCCTTCACTCCTACGCAAATCCATTTATCATTCATCCCCCTTTTCACTGCTCTAAAGACTGAAAATTGATCTTAATCTCAAATAACCAAAACAAGAAAAATTTTCTTTTGTGTTTCTGGGGCAGCCGTTACATGAAGTCATGTTGTGGAATAATGGAGCCCAAATAAAGCATTGATCTTGCACTTTAAAGCACAGCCCTTTTGAAGCTGCATAACTAGAAAAAAATTATAATGAAAAAGAAAAAACAATGAACATAAGTCTTTGTTCTGCTGTGCCTTTGGACAACACAGAGAAGGCAGAGAAAACACAATAAAACAAATGACAATAGTGAAAATGCTCCTCATTTCTACAGAAGAAGACGATCGTGAGTTTCTTTTATTGTATTTATGTGAATTTTTGCAGCATGGTATGTTTAAGGAGTGCTACAGATAATTGGAAACAGGAGCCTTGATTTAGTTAAAACAAAGCTGAGCGTAGGGGAAGGGTTCTGTTTACATTCTGGTGTTCCTGCAAGGCTCCAGAGGGTCTGACTGAGACATTAAAGAATACACCTCAACAATCCTGCAGAGATGATGTGACAGGCGCATGTTGGAAGAAAAAAGCATTTGGACATATATGTAAACACATCAGGAAGAGTTAGCTTAAAAATTAAAACTGAATGTTGAAATGTTTTCAGGAATAAGAAATTGCTATAAACAGCTTTCCTTACATATGCATGTTACTGTAGTGTTACTGGAAAAAATATAATTATGCATGTATGACACTTTCAGGAGCAATTGAATATACAATAATGACTTTAATTAATGGTAGATATACCCCATTAAACTTCTTTACATATGAACATGTTACAAACACAAATCTGTGCATGTTATTTGGACCTTTTTTGGTAAACATATATAAGGCAACACAAAATTATAAACCTCCAACATCTAATAGGAGGATACTGTTTAATTAACTAAATGGTAAGTGAATGGCACAAATGCATCTCTTCAAGACATGGCAATACACACTGACTAACATGTGTAAGAACGCTATCAGTCAAAGAAGCCGCCAATAGCCCAAAAACTCTGGAGAAGCTGCAGAGCACCTCTGCTCGGGTGGAAGAGGTTGTATTTTATGAATTGTTCACTGAACAAAAGTTGTCCTTATGATCAGTGGCAATAAGCTGTTCGACTTGCAGGTCTACAAGACATAAGAAACGACAAAAGCCCAGCTTTTTTTTGCCAGCAAGCAAAAAATTGTGGGTTTCTAATTAAGCCATAGTAATGGCAGGCTTATGTTCTTGGAATACTCTTCTGCGTCATGGAAAGGGAAGGTAAATCTGGGATGTAAACATACAGCTATGGCTACAATGGAATGCTTAAGATAAAAGCATATTTATTTGTAGAAGGAGGTCTAAAGCACTCAGGAAAAAAGTTATTAAGGAAGCCATTATTGGTACATAGCTAATGTGATGAAAATGTGGCAACATGTTTTGGCTTGGAGATAAAAACACTATGGACATCAAAAGAATATTCACCTTACTATATAAATGGGATTCAGAGAAAATACATTTAAAAGAGAGAATGTGAGTGAGAGTAAAAACTGCCATAAATCCAAAAAAAAACATTGATCTACAGGATACCAGACAGAATGAGGATAATTGAGACTACAGAAAAGGGTGGACAAGTCAAGTTCGCCATTTAAATCTGCTATTCAGTAGCTTTTAATGTGTAGTTCCAAAATTATTCTCTTTGCAGGAGTCTTTTAAGTCGATTACCATCTCTAACTGACTTTTGTGCTCTGTACTCAATATTTTAAGGAAGTCATAGCTAACATGATTTACATCTTTTTTGTGGACTGCGAAGCACTACAGTACTGGGGGGTTTCCTGTAGTCTCTTATCTTCATGCTACCTGTAGAGAAATGTTTTCTTTGAATAATGACAGTTTTTACCCTCAATGTGGTAAAATGATTTTTTTCCTAGTCCTATTTATATAGAAAGGTGTATAGTTTTTATCTGTCTGGATAATGCTCTCTTGTCATTAGCAAATCATGCTGATCATGTGACCACTTACCTGCACTAACTAAGCAGCTGTCTTTAATTGTACATTTAATAAAACTTAGGAAAGACTGACAAACGTTTTGCCATTGCCCTGACGAAGGCCCCTCTACCCGAAATATGTTGGCACGTTTTTACTCCTTCAGCCATGACCAAAAAAGGCCTTTTAATAACTTTTTTTCCTGAGTGCCTCAGACCTCTTAAATTTTTTACTTGGATACTTTACTGAAGAGCAACATAGGAACATACTCGCACTCCCTACAAGTACTCCATGCTCAGTTTCTTTGATTTCATATTTATTTGTAAAAATGGCCTAGTCAAAGTCCAAAATGTATGTTCTCAAAAATAATCTGGCTTGAACTTGGCTTATTATGAAGAGCTATATTTATATATATATACATGTATATGCACACTACACATGCACATAACACTTTTTTTTCTTTTTATTCCTAAAGAAATTTATAGTTGTAATGTTAAGACAGTCTTAAGACACTTTTTGTTACCCTTTACAATCATATTCTCCATTGTGTTGATCTATCACATGATGTTGTAAGGTTAAATGACAGTCGTAGTCTTTTGCAATAATTAAGGCAATCACAGGGTTATTACCCTGACAGAGAACTCTATTTCACTTGATAATGAATCATTAAGTAAAGTTCATTACGTGTTCAGTGGAGTAACACGTCTAATTAAACACATGATGCACAAATAAAGATAATAGCTGTGGAGTGACACACTAAATTGAGTATTTTTACTGGTGTACTACTTGTTTGCAATTCTGTTCCTTTTTTTTGTCTTCCTACGAAGGGTTATGCATTTGCATTATGTGAGATAAGAACAGAAAATCTAAAGAGTTTAAAAAACTACCAGGACACCAAGGGTTAAGAAGCACAAACAATAACATTTCTGGAGCAGATGTCCTTGAGGGAAAACCAAGGACAAGGCAATTGCTAATCTTGTATTCCCAGCATGATCAAATCACCAGGCAACAGATATAAATAAAAGGACAGGAAATGAGGAATTCACATTCAAGGGTGTCAGTGGCGAAATGAAGATTCATGGTGAAGAGCCCTGGCGAAGGTGGCAAAAATTAACTACAAATAAAAGGGACAGCCGGCCTCCAAAGTCCAGCGTATAAAGCAGTTGTGGATAGGAGAGAAAAAGACATGCTGGAGAGGGGCGCAGAGGAGAATGGGCTGCACTTTGTCATGAAGACAGGTGCTTTTATTTGACATCCAATAGGATGTTCCCTTCAACTGGATATTCTAAAAATATGAGTCTGCGCACGATCATCAGACTGTCTCGTTTTCCGTTCATTTCACACTATCATTTGTTACCACAAAACACACAGAAACCTATTCAGCTCTATTGGCCTGGAATGTTTAAATGAAATTGAAACTGAGCTCCATTGTGGGAATAAATAAAATGCAGTAAATGTTAAGGCAGTTTCATATGCACAGGTTGGGATGTAATAAAAATGAATTAGGATGATTACACCGACGCCGCTGATGTCTAAAAACAATGTTTCGCTTCCTTCAATAAGAACATTTGAAACCTCACTGATTGTGAATGCCTGATCAATAAATAAACATATGAAACAAGAACGAAAAGCTCAAATGTGACTATGAATAAAGAAATGTGTCAAGTCTCATGGTTCTGCAAGCTGTTTTAATGCACAGCAGTTAAAATCTAAATCGGTGCAAATGCTGCTTGTTAGTTTTACTTCAAAAATACATTACTTTGTATAGTTTTAGCAAATAAACAACTGGCAGATTTAAAAAAAAAATTGAAAAATGAACCGTAAACATTCTAATTATCTTTGATTCAGTGGTAATAGTAACTAGTTAGTAAGCTGAAACCTATATGATGGGCCTACTATCATTAATGTCTATTCAATTCTAAGCTTAACGAGTTCATCAAACTAAAATCCATAACTCGCTCAGGTTTTTCACATTGTCAGGTTACATCCACAATTAGAATTTGTCAAGTCAGGTTCACATTTTAGTCTGATCTCCTCTAAAAATCCAGAATGAAGGTATCTAGTACCTAATTAGTAAAAATACTTCTATGTTTAATTGAATCACAGTATAAACATGTCTGTTCTGGAAAGGTGTTAGACAACATTAGAGAGCGAAGAGCATCATGAATGCCAGAAACGTGGCATGAAAAAGAGTGATAAAGTTTTGTCCTGTTGCAGTGCTCAATCATTCGAAAAAAGTTGTGTTGCACCGATACCGATACCAGTATCAGGCGGGGTCCCAATACAGCCCTAAAATGGTGCTATTGGTATAGCAAATAGGGCATCGATACCATTTTGAGAGCCAAAAGTTTATTGAACTACTGTCACCCATTCCAGGTAGGCAATAAAAAGTTCTACTTGATTCACTTTATGTTAGTCTTTTTTTTCCTGCTTCACAAAGGTAGGCAGCAGCTTGACAAAGTCATGATGGCAATTATTTTACATCCAAGTAGTAAGCCGTTCCTCATATATACACACACACGGATAGGGCTGGGTACCGAACTTCGGTTCTTTTATGGTACCGACCGAAATGCTTCGGTTCTACAGAGTATCGAAACATGCCTCGTCTTTCGGTACCAAGTTTCGGTGATTGGCTGTAACACTTAACATGATTGCGTCATCCAGGAAAAATACATAGGAGGTCACGCCTAGAGCCAGGGTTCATGTGTATCTGTTGTGAACTGGTTGCGAGCGTCGTGGAACCCCTTTAAAATGCCCCCCAGGTCAAAAGTGCGGCTTCACTTTATTAAGACTGATGCTAATAGTGCGCTTTGCAATACATCGTGCACGAAAACAATTTAAGAGCAGAAAGTTGCACGGTGTTTGACTGCAAGAAGAGCGGACCGCAGCCAGCGCGACCATCCTCCTCTCAGCAGCCCGTGGGCAGAGAAAAGCCAGAGCGGAGTGAGTCATGCTGCTTTCAAACTGGACGCAGCAAGAGCAGCAAAATCGCGTCTGCTGCTTCCCTTTTGCTGCATGTACCACCTTCTGACGCGCGGCTGAAGAAGCTTTGCTGCTCTGGCTGCGCGGTCGAAAAGTGTGTCTGACGCACGTTGGGCGGAGCAACTCTATCCTTTATTTGCCTTGCAGCTATATTTGCTGTGATCAGTGGGAATAAAGTAGTTTTATTATGTTTTTAAGTGGGAAAATCCACCTGAAAACTTAATCAGTGCAGTCAGTTCATCCTGCCATCCAATATTTCTGTCGGAGCCGCTCAGACCCCCACATACCAGCGGTGCGCTGTCAGTAGGATCCCATTCAACGGGCTTGTTTGTCAGACATGGTAATTTTTCTAAAGGAAAACTGCTAAGTAAAAAGGTCCTCACAATGTAACAGTGAATATTAGACACTGAATTTTTTTTTTTTATGTAAGAGGAAAAATGTAAATGGAAAAATCAGATCTTAAAATAAAACTCAAGATTTGTACTTTTTTATGTTGTGTAACTTTCTTTTTATTTTTTTTATTTTATAAAACTGGTATCGAAAAAAGTATCTTTCAGGAACCGGTATCGAAATGAAGGTATCGGTATTGGTACCAGAACCGAAAATTTTTGAACAATACCCAGCCCTACACACGGACATCAATTTTAAACAGATGGTATCGATACAGTATCGGCCAATGCTGCACAGCCAGGTGTCGGGTATCAGGGCCAAATGGCATTGCGCTAGAAAAAATTTTTACCCACAAAGACAGGGTCTGTATGTGTGTAGGAAAACCAGAGCTGCACATCAAGCTACAGATAAAACGTATTGGTGGTATGTGAAATGGTCAGTGCTAATTAGAAAAATTATGCAGCTTCTAATAAAAGGAAGATCCTGGAAGAAAATCTTTTAATGGCTGCAAAAGATTAGAAACAGGAAGAGAGGCTTTATCATCTAGCAGGAAAGTGATCCTAATCATACCACCATTTCTAGTGAATAGCCATAGTTTTCAGATTTTTACCTGTTTCTGCTCCTCTCCAAGTCCGTCCCACATGGAGGCAACTATTTTGGAGACATCTCCAAAGGTTGCGTTTGGATTCTGTCCTTTGATGGCTGCCTGGGTGTCTCTGAAGAACAAGGCATAGGCCGACACGGGCTTAGTTGGCTCATTAGGGTCCTTCTTCTTCTTCTTCTTCTGGGGCTTGGGCTTGGGTTTCATCATCTCAGAAGATGGTCGTTTTTCACCAGTTATCTGGAAGGCAATCAGTGCACACACAACCAAGAAATAGCTTATTGACACTGAAACTATTTCATTTTACCAATTTCTTGTAAAAAAAAAAAAAAAAAAAAAAAAAAAAATCTTCAGCAAATGAATAATTACACCTCTGATGAATGGCTGTAACGCTGGGTCCAGGTGAAGCATATAAACCTAATTACCTCTATAATTTGATTGCTCAGTTCAATAACCAACATTTGAATATTGCAGTAATGATTCACTGACAAGAGCACTTTCAAACGGAGGCGCTAGTTGACAGCAAACCGTCTTTTCTTTTTCTCCTATGACACTCTGTCAGAAATATCATGTGCTAGTTGAATTTATCAGACCTTTTCAAATCTTTATTTTGCAGTTGCTCAGCAAGTCATAAATTCAGACTTTTCATGCCTGGGCTGAAGGGAATTTTAAATCGTCTGATGTATCTGCTCTGGCTTTGATGTGGTCTCAGAATGAATTGGAGAGAGCAAATGGAATTACTTACTGATAGAAGAGATGGTAATCATTTTTATTCGCATGCGCCCTGTGAAGCCCAGCAGAGATGTATAGGACTAGAAATATATTTCTTGAACTAAAGCATCCCCTTTACTTACTTTACTTATATTGTAGCACTATGAACTGGCAGCTAAAATGAGATGAATCTGAAACATTGATGAGGTGGAGAAATTAGTGAAATACTAATCTGAATTCCTACTTATTAAATTAATCAAATATAAGTAAAATAGGATGCATAATCAAGTTAAAGTACAGCTTGCATGAAGACATAAAAAAAAAGACTATAATTGAACATGGATTTAGAGCAACAGTGGAGATCAGAACCGGGGAAAATTGATGATAAAAAGTGATTGATTTAAAAAACAAACATTGTTCACATTTTGTGCTGTAAGAAAAAATAAGAATAACCCACTGAATATCTAGTTCTTTATAGAAAGATTTACATTCTGATCTTTTATAGCTCTAAAAAGAATTCAATTGAATTACAGGTTGTGAGGAATATATAGATTGTAACCCATTGATCCAAAGATACCAAAAAAAAATGTACTTTGAAGTTGAGCAAGAACTTAGGACACCCCAACATATAATAACTAGTCTGAGGATCTTAACTTTGACTCAGTAAGGGACTTTCCTATTTCTCAATTCTGAGCCAGGGCCCAGTTCTTTTTCAGCTTATTTTTTTTTTTAACAGATAGTCTACAATTTTCTTTAAGTTCACCCTGATAAATGGCAGAATTCTATTGTGGTTAAAAGGCCTGGTATACAGCAATGCATCTCCAAACCATGACACATCCACCTCAGTGCATCACAGTTTGCGTGACAATCTTTCACTGCCAACGCTGTACTAGGTTTATGTGAAACTTGTCCTTTTCCTTCTAAAAAAATATATTTTTATTTATTAGTTCTGAAATGTCTTTTTTTATATTCGAAAAATCTCACAATCTTTGCTACTTTGTCTTTCGCCTACTTTTGTCTGGTCTTTGTGTTTTTTTTTGTAGGGCAAAGGTTTCCTTCTTGCATATCTACAATAAAAGTTAAACATGTGCAATCTGTTTCTGATTGTATAGACATGTAGCAAGAGCCTTCTGTAAGCCAAAATTGCATTTGAGTGTTTTTGAAGAATTCTTTTAGCAGTTTAGGGCCTGCTTTCAGGCGAAGTTGCATGGATGGTCAGACCTGGTAATGCTGGAAGTTGTTTTAAATGTCACATGCTTGTAGACTACTTTTAATACAGCTGGATATCTATTTTTTTATTTGTTTGCAGACTGCTTTCAATCCAGTACAAGAATCATTAACTGTAAAAGTCTAACTGGCTTTCCTTTTCAACATAGGGTTTAACAATGAAGCCTTTAAATTTCTAAGTAACACCTATCTTCCACAACAGATCACTTTTATCATGTTTCACAGGTAAAGTATTTTCTTCAAATATCCAAACATGTCAGAAAATCTCTCAGGGCTCTTTTTATAAAGAATATTAAGTGTGTGTTTTTAAGATTTCACCAACAACCAACCAAACATGGAAAAGGGGCTGAACCATGTCAAAATAAAACTATGCTCTGTAAAACAGTTGGAAACATATAGAAATGACTTAACAGTTTTAAATTCAGCTCCAGGGAAACTATCAAAAATCCCTGACAATTTATATTAGAATCTAACTGTAGTTGTCTTTAAGCCATCTCAGACAAGCCCCTGCCTCCATCTTCAGAGAAGCCACATCAGTACCTTCGAATGAGGATCTGTCTCCTCTTCCTGATTGGAGCTTGAAGGGGAGGGTGTGGCTGATTTACTCCCAGGAGGCGAGGGGGAACCATGAGGCAGTGCGCTCCGGCTGACCTGAGGGTTTAGCTGAGACAGTGCACTCATGGGATTGGGCAGTATCGGAGGTGAGCTGTTTATCATGTGGTGGTTACGGGCAGGATCATAATGAGCGGCGTCAGGGTGCTGGTGATGGTGTTGCTGTTGGTGGTGGTGGTGCATAGCCATCTCCTGCATCTGGGATGAGAGAAGAACACCAGCTTTACTATCTTCTCTGCTCAAAAAAATAATTGTTGCCAATTAGCCAAATTTGCAAATATTTTTAGGTGGAGATGACATTTCTTATTTGGTATGGTTTGTGTTGAATAAAAACCATTACAGGCCCCAAATTCTGCCAAAGCCTGCAATCTTTACTTGTACCATTTGAAAATTTGAAATCAATTTCTTAATCTGCAGTAGAACAGCTTCACTCAAGTTCTCCTAACTTTGGAGGAGACTAAAATTCAACAATGCCTTAAATATTGACATGTTTTTTTTTCTGATGGGGAAAAAATAATTGGTATGCACAAATCAGAAAATATGGCCCATGTAGATATTTACCTCTTTAAAACATTTATCTAGTTCTCTGAAAACATGTATTACAAATTCTGATTGAAACAGCATCGCAGCCACCCATAGAAAGCAGTAACTTTTTTTTTGATTTCTCACTTAACTAGTTGGTTTCTGTGCCTTTTTTGTTGTTTTTTCAGTTCCTCACACTGAGTTTTGCTTTATTTTACTCTTATTTTGTACATTAACTCCAAGTCTGTTGTTTTGGATGTACATATCACTGCAGTAATCCTGAAAATCAAAAATTGAAAATGTCAGAGCTGTTTTATAAGCTTACAAAGTCAAACTAAAAGTCATGACAGGAGCTATTTCAAAGCCTACGTTTTCAGTTATACAGGCTGAAATGGAATGAAGCAGACCAGAGGTGATACAGAACCTATGCTGAACCAGCACTTTGCAAAGAAGATATTTTATAATGGGCTACATCAATAATATTGCATGTAGTGATTGCAGTGAATAGATTGACCTCCTAAACCACACATTGCTTTGCCCATAATTAGCAGCTGTTGCCCAGAATTGCAACGTGTTTAATCTCCTTTTCCTTTTTGCCTTTTTACTTTAAAGCTATAAAAAAAAAAAATGACATAGATACCTGGTATATAAATGACTTGTATTCAGCAATTATTCTACTTGGCTTCATTGTTAAACAAATTCACTGCAATGCTGTACATGTGACTGCTATCTATACATCCAAAAAGGAAAGGTAGCTCTAACAAGAATAATTTTTAGTGAATCTAAAGAACTTTCCTTTCCTGAGCCTCTTCATTAGTCTTTAAGGTAATTCTGATTCCTTTTTGTCATATCGATAAATTAGAGTGTTGAAACCTTTTACTGTATGTCAGACGTTCTAATATTAAAAAGCATCATTGCAGAGTCGCAATGATCAAGAACTGAGCAGTTAGCATCTTTTGGTTGTTGACTATGACATGTTTACAGTCGCAGCACATCACTATGTAAACATGTTTCTAGTAATCAGATACTTTTGAGTACCACTGAGTTTATTTAAACAAACTAATCCAAATGCCTAACTGGCAGTGCTTTCTAAGCAGCAGTTCTGTTTCAACCGCAGTAAACACTTTCTTTGGCTCAGTTCTGCTGGTTCTACCTTGGTGCCAACCTGTAGTTGGTCCAGAGGAAATATCTTCCTTTTTTTTTTTGTAAGGAGAAGGTAAGCTCATGACAGCCAGAAGCAAACTTTAACTTGTATCAGTCCCTGAGTAACCTTTGCTTCTGATATGGAGAATTTGTGACAAAAAAAAATTAAAACCCCGACCTTCAAACATCATAAAAAACGTAGACATCCTCTAAACATCCCAATAGATTCAATTTAGCGACCTTGAAAGGCTACACGGATGCAGGATTTGATATCAATTTTTCCAGCACTGATAGTCTTTCTTTGGCCTCGATCCTTTCACAAAGACACCAAACCTTAGAAGGTGTTGCGAAACATTTTAGTGCTGAAAAAGAATAAAAGCTTTAAGAAATCTTGTCTAAATCATAATCAATAATTACAATTACTATAAGAATTTTTTAATACTAGAGAGATCTTCCGATGTTTTTCTTGTTTATCATAAGCCCTAAAAAACAGAATTAAAACTAGAATAACAAACTCTATGCCTCTCATTACCACTCTTTGTATGGAAATAACCTTTCACTCTAATCTAACACTATTTTTAGCTTCTTACCATTAAGAATTCATTAATCCTATTTTTGATATTGTGAAACTCCCCAGATGGTATAGATCAGACAGTAGGTGGACGGGACCTAAGTCAGCACATCTTTTGTTTTTTCTTCAATTAAATTTGTGATATCAGGACATCAGACCAGAATCATATGATTTATGTACATAAACCATCTCCTAGCACTTCAATCCTTAAAATTAAGAGAAGCTCATGGTGATGCAAAAATATGACTTTAACCTAGTTCTCTATCCCTATAAAGTCAAAGATCTGCTGTAGAACCAGCAAAGACTGGTTTAAGAGAAGTACTAGAAAAAAAAAAAGAAAAAAAAAATGTGGTTGGATTTATATGCTCCTCAGATTCAAAGAACAATTCACGGTAAATCAAATGATGTATTAAAATATAAGCTTTTCAATCTGTTAAATCCTGGTTGTGGTTATTCTTTTTTTTTCCCAACACAATTACTCACCCAATAAAATGTATCCCTACACAATAATTGTAATTCTATTTGAAGATTTATCAATCAAAATTATATGTCATTTTTAAAACCATTCTCTTTCACAGCTATTAGGTGTATTTATGTTGAATATTTGAGGCAATAAATGCAGCATTTTTACATATAATTGTAAGTGAAGAAGGACTTCAGTTCCTGCAGCTAAAAACGAATTCTTGAGAAGCTGAAGCTTTCAGCACCTGGTGAAGCAATCACTGAGCCAATGATATTGATCAACAACCCCATCAGCCCCCTGTAGGTACATTATGCTCACCATGTGCAGTGAAGTAAGAAAAAAAATACTTAGTGGAACGTCAAACAACATCTCTTTGCACTAACTGGGTTTTACAAATAGAAGCAAAAGTGGTGCTCACAGCTGGAGAAAGAACCCTGCATGAAAAACACCCTGCAATAATTACAGAGTCAGCCTTTCACAAAGTTCTGCTCTTAGCTATCTTTAATCTTCAATAATAACTGGATCAAAAGCTCTTCTCCAAGATTCATGTGGACATTACATGAGCACGGAGCAAAGGATGCTTTTAATGCAGGCATAAATGGGAATGTTTGGCAATTTACAGATCAGAAAGTGATGAGCTAGCATTTGTTAGCTCTTTTAAACATTTATGAGTTAAATAATACATTACACATTAGTGCAGTGCTAAAAAGATCAAATTGAAAGAGCCAGAGCATATGAGTTCTTGATAAACACGAGCAGAGGCTCAGAGATGAAGGCTTGGTTCTCTAATCATAATTGGTCCCAGTAGATCGCTGGAATAAAAATGGACTACAAAGTAATGTTGTGCACTGCTCTGGCCTGCTTTGAAAACTCATAATATTCACACTACATTAGATTCAGTATTTGCCTCAGCAGCTGCTCACAAAAGCCAGCCCTGAACAAAGACATTCCTTATGCATTTCAAATAACAAAGCCGTAACCCCCCAATGGAAATCTCTGACTTCTAATCAGGATTTAAAGCACAATTACTATACTCCTTAAAGCGTGAGAAAGTAGTTCAAACAAAAATAACAACAAAAAAGAAAACAAGGAAAATGAGTGAAAGTGGTGAAAATGAAAGTAACGTCATTAATTCAATTTTCATTTTTCATGTTCTTTAAGGATTCTCCATAACCAGGAAGCAATAAAAAAAAATAATAATAATCAAACAAGAATAGCCTATCCTATCATTGATGTGGCAGATGCATTTCCATAGCAACAGCCTCCTAGCAAAATTGTCACCCTTTAATCTGAGTCACACCATGTGTAATATCAACAAGAAAGAGACATGCAGCGCAAAGAGGTTTAGGAAAAGGAGAGCAATGCTGCATAGTGGAAAAGTTAAACAGGAAACAAATGTATGTCAGCACAGAAATACTTTCCTCTTGGAGGTATATCAGAAATTATTTTCATTTAAATAAAAGACTTTATCTTTTATATGAAGTAATTATTTTCATTGATATGATTAGGTTTACTTTAAATGTTACAGTATTGTTGCCAACCTCTGAGAATCAGAGGCTTTCTCACATTATATTTTATGTCACATTTTTGCCTCTTACTCAAAGCTGGCTCGCTGTATTAATTTATTCCTTGTAAGTTTTAGTGTCCTTAGGTCAACTGTTTTTAATTTGTGCTTTCACCTGAATGAGGAACAAACCACAAAAGGGTTATCACACAGTGGCATCAAACCTGGGCTGAATAAAACTGGCTGCAGACGGTTGTGCAAATATTATGAAAGAATCTGATAAAGGTTGCCGGTTGCCATAGGTACCGTATGCTAATTCCTAATGATGTCTTACAAATTGCAAGGTAAAAGTGCACTATGAGTAGCCCAAGTAGGTTTAATTGGTCTTTTCTCCATAGTGTAACTATATAGTGGCTGAAAACATTACAGGGACAAGAGCAGGAGGTACTTATACTTTCTCAGTCTATATATTCACAGCTTTTTTAGCAAACAGAAATATATTTAACTAAGGAAGAATAATTTTACTGCATTGTAAATATTGTAAATTGTGGGATATTGATGACTGGAAAATAAGATACAGAGAACAGGCAAATGTGGTTTAAGGTTTCAAGGTCCGCCAAGGTTTGGAAAAGTCCCAAACTAACATACAATTCATGAGGTCAACTTAATAATGGACCAAGCACTAAGGGAGAGTAGAGAGTAGCTCTGGGTTTCCTCTACCTTGTGCTCAGTGTTGATCAACTCTGTTAGTCGGCCTCAGCAGATGGCCGCTCACACTGAGCCTGGTTCTGCTGGAGGTTTCTTCCTGTTAAAAGGGAGTTTTTCCTCTCCACTGTCGCTACAAGCATGCTTGGTGTGAGGGATTGCCTTTGAGTCAATGACTCATTGCAATCAACTGGTTTTCCTTAGACAAAACTTTGAATCAATTTGACTGTATGATCTGGTGGAATTGTAAAGTGCCTTGAGATGACGTGTTATGAATTGGTGCTATATAA